CATAACCTTCTCTATCTTTTTAACTTTCCTTTCTTTATATAATCCATTCAACAAAACACTACTTGTGTGGTTATTAATCATGGCTCTTTTTCTAATACCCTCCTGATAAAATTTCATAGCAGCACATGCCCTATAAATAAACTTTAATAAACCATAAAAAATATATTGTAATTAAATCCATTAGGCATGTGTAAAATGGACCAAGCTAAAAGATTCCAGGAAATTTTTTTTTATTGATGTATAAAGAGAAATAATGTTAATTAGAAGGTGGAAAAATGGAGGAGAATAACCTTCCTTGGCAAAACATATAGGGTTTTTTAAGTGATTTGCAATATTATTAAAAAAAACTAATAAATAGCAATGAAAAGGCCAATGGATAATATTCCATTGCTAATTTCCAATGAAAATAACACCAAAGAATTTCTATTGGGAGTTTCTGATAATTTTCTATGAATTATCAATGAAGTATAAAAAATAAAAAAAATCATTAAAAATGCCATCAACAATTCTGTTGGAAAGTTGACATGTCATTATTTATCGATGAAATTGTGGATGTAATTATTTCATTGAAAAATGTAAATAAGTTATAACCAATAGCCCTCCCATTCCTTTTCTTCTTCCTCTTGCAGAAAAAATAAAATAAAAACATACAAGTAGCCTTTTATTTTCTTATACATCCAGCCACCCTAACTTATCAATGACAATATAAATCTATAAGTAATATGTATATTCATTGTTGAATTTTTTTAACGAAGTCTCAATACATAAAATAAATAAACGCACCTTTTTTTTATCCCATTTATGTTTTAGGTCAATTTATTGAATTGTTTTATGGTATTTGTAGTTTGCTTGTATATTCAAGTGTTTTTCAACTTTTTCATAGAGAAATTTATTATATTAATATATGATTTGTATATTAAATTTTTTTAGAGATTTATGGAAAATTAAATGTTTTTTTTTTCATTAGATGAAATTGAGTTTGATTTTATAACTTATATGTGTTATAATTGAAGAAATAATAAGTTATTTTAACGGGTACTAATAATATTTTATCAATTTTATTGTTAAGTTCCACCATAAAGATATTGCAATGATATATCTAATTAAAAAAAAAAGGTTTGTTGAGAAATATTTATCTTGGGTAGTACATGGAGAAACATGGGTTTGCAAATAAAAATAATAATTCTTATAGGAGGATGATGATGAATGCAATAAGAATGAATCGGGATTATTCAAGTGAAGTCTCATATAACATCCCTTCAAATGAAGAACCAAATATAAATGCAACTAGATTTTTCAAACTTTTGAAAGATTTTGATGAACTATTATAGGATTAGTGCATAACTCATAACAAATGATTGATTATTGCACAAGTATTTACCATCAATTCAAGTTATGGATTGAGAGAGGTTGATTATGATATCATTATTGAATGAGTTAAAAACATGTTACTTAAAGATAATATGCTAAAATATAACTTTTATATTATAAAATCTATGATGAAACCTTTTGAACCAGGATATCAAAAAATTAATACGTGTTTAAATTTTTACATGTATTACAATGAATATACGTATTTTACCAAGTGCAAAACTTGTTAGCATACTCTGTATAAACGTAATAGTTGTAGAAGAAAAAAACTTGTCTTATATAAAAAACTGAGATACTTTCAAATCACTTCTATGATTTAAAAAGTTATTTATATCTCTAAATATTGTTAAGCATATGACACGATACCATTTACATGATATGATAAATGTAGTCATGATGCACCCTTCCAATGATGAAGCTCAGAATCATGATTCACCTTTCTAATAGTGAAGTTTAGAAACAATTTAATAGGGTGCATCCTTAGTTTTTAATGGAACCACAAAACATATATTTTGACTTGTGTACATATGAATTTAATCTATTTGGATCCTTTGTTACACCCTATTTTTGTTAACAGGTCATAATAACAGTTGATAACTTACCTCCAATGATGTGTATGAAGTCAAAACATGTTTTTGTATGTGGTCATACTAGGTTCTTACAATCTATGTAGGAATATATGTGTTTGTTTTTAACCGTTGATTAATGAGTTGAATAAGTTATAATTAATTGAGAATTTGGCATATGATGTCTAAAAAAAAAAAAAAAATTAGATGAAGACAATATTGATATGAATTATATATGATTTTTCTATGTATGAGATGATTTCACATTGGAGCTCACATGAAAAATTAGTTTGTCGACATTGTATAAAAAATAATAAGACCTTTACCTTAATGAATGGTGGTAAAGTTTTTTTTTTTTTTTTATTATCACTGAAGGTTCTTTCCAAGTCATCATCGATATATAAATAACATAAAGGACTTCTCGAAATATATAGTTGGAAGGAATGTTGAATAGTTGATATTGTCGGGTGAAGAATTGTATGATGTAGTTTTACAATATAAAAGCATTGTATTTGGTTTTTATTTTGGTAAGTAGAAGTTTCATGTTTTTTATGTGACCTATGATCGGGTAAAGTAGAGTATATTCTGAGATATTCTTATTGGAAGACTAATGTTATTTGTATAATTTGGATGTCATGCATATTAAAAAAAAATATTCAACAATATTTTTAACACAATCATGAATGTGAAAAGGAAAAACAAATAACAATATAAATGCTATAATATATCTAGCTTTGGAATATGAAATTTTTTAATGATGGATTATGTATTACAAAGCCAAAAGCTATATTCATCTTAGATAAAAATACATAGTTTTTTCTTTACAAATGACTGAAGAGCCTGTGATTTGTTAATGAATATGCTTAAAAAATTATCTAGATTAAAGAATTTAAAAGAATACAAATTATATGAAATAAAGAGTCATGAATTTTTTAATGATGGATTATGTTTCACAAAGCCAGAAGCATATTCACGTTAGATAAAAATATATAGTTTTTTCTTTAACAAATGCTTGAAGAATCTACGATTTGTTAATGAATGTGCTTTATGAATTATCTAGATTGGTGAATTTAAAAGAATACAAATTGTATAAAATAAATAGTCATGACTGTTATATATTTATACAAACATTCATTCAAATTGCTTATAGGGATTTATTGTTATAACAAATATGAGATGCATGCACTATACAAATTAGCTAGTTTTTTAAAGATATTTGTTTGAGCAATTCATATACTTAATTATTGTTTCTTATATTCTTACATAGACTCAATTCAATAATTTTTTTAGGCAACACCATCAATTATTGTTATTCCAAAATCCAAATGCTACCAAAGCTCAAAATTTTCAATTACAAGATAAAAAATTTACCATATAGTTTAAAACATATATAAGTATTTAATAATTCATAACTCCTAAGAATAGATTTACTTATGTTTTTTCTTTGACTGCTACTGATTATTAACCTTAACTAAGCTTGCAATAGAGGAGACAATGCTGATAGATTAAAATTTCAATTACCAGGTCCTAAAAAAAGGTTCATTGTTATAATGAGTATTTCATTAATGAACATGTCTTTCATATTGAAAAGTATGACGAGGGTAGAAAAACATATAATAGTGAAGTTTTTATAAATGGTTTAATTTTCAATGAGTTTAAATTTGTTTATTATAGAAAGTTATAAGAGGTTATTGGATTGTGATATAATAGTTTGCAAGATACATTGGTTTTATTTAAATATTATTGGTATGATATTCATAGAGAAATTAAAGTAAATCCATACTATGGTATGGTCGAAATACATAAAAGAGATAGATTTTGTAATATTAATAATATTTTTGTTTTTGCAAAACAATATCAATAAGTGTTTTATAAATACATTTTTTTTTAGAAAGGATCATGATAAATGATATATTTCAAATGAAAGTGCTAGTTAATCTATATCGACTTACTCTATCTGTTGAGTTTAAACATTTAAATTTTAATGTAATTAAGAATATTTATATTTTCATTGGTAAATCTTTCAGTGATGTAAATTACTGATATAATAGAGTTTACACATTAATAGAATATTTTATAAGTATTTTTTAATTGTTTTTAGTGCAAGCATAATAAATATATATTTCAAAATTTATAAGACATACATGAATATGCTTAACAATCACATAACTCTACCTATAGTTTCAAAGTCAACATGTTCCTGGTGCTCTTAAAAAAAATATTTATATAATTCACATATGCATCAAATAACTTGTTCAAAAATATCTAGTGGAAACAAAGAACAAAAATGCAACAAAAAGATAAAGAAAGAGAAGGAATCCCTTTCGAGGCCTTTAAACAAACATTTAAAGTGTAAGAAAGGAAAAAAAACATTGAAAATTTACCAAAAGCTTAAACCATCACAATGATCCACATATAACCCTGCAAATCAATATACAAAATGCTCAGAATATGCAAGAAATGGAAAAATTCTAAGCAAGTTTTTCCACAATCCATGCAAAAAAAACATCATGAACAAATAAGAAAGGAGGGAGGGAAAATGAGAAAAATAAAAAAGAATGAAAATAATGAGGGAGGAATGTAGAAGAAAAAAACAAGGGAAATAAAGAGGAGAGAGGAAAAGTGAGAGAAAAAGAAGAAAATGATAAGGGAGGAGTGTAGGAAAAAAAAGAAGGAAAATGAAAATATTGGTTTGGTGGTGATATGAAGAAGAGAGGGAATAGTAAAGCAGAAAAAACACATCATAACATCCAAGAATTATCTTATTTGACACAAAGAAAAGCTCAAGTGAAAAAAAAACAACATAACAACTAGTAACATGTATAAAAAAAGAGACTATGTTGAAACAAACTGCTATATTACCAATTTTAGGTAAGCAATGAATATCTTTTATGTTTTAGTTTATTTGTTAATGTTAATTTTAAAAAATTAAAGACCATATTTAAAATTACAAGCATCTAAAAATGATAACAAATGACTATAGAAAAAAATATAGTTAGACTTAATTCTCTAAATCAATGTTATGAAATCCAACTCGGCCAACTAGATCGACTCAATGACTCGTTAACTTGACTCTTGAACCAAATAGTATTTTTTTAGATAGTTTATATAGTTGATTTAGTTAAATTTAGATGGTTTTATAGGTCAACTTGTTATATGACCTGATCAAAATTATGGTGAGATTCTGTTTTTTTTTTTTTTTACTTGTCGGTTAGACTAGAGAATTTTGAGTTATAAAATAGAAAATCTAAAATATTTCATTGTATAATTTTGATAGTTATAAAAAGTATCCAAAACATTGTTATTTTGAACAAAAATACTATATAAAAAAAATAATACACTCAAGTAAACTCAATTAACATATTAATGGACCAACCCTGGTAAAATCTCTTAACTATGCCTTGTATCAGCATTCAAAGAACAAGCGCACAAAAGCCATTAACATTAGAGAGACGTTAAAATGGGGAGACCTTCATGCAAGGGCTCAGATAAATGCAGTACCATGTGAAGCACGACGGAAGCAACAGCTTTCACAGCAGAAAGTTCAAAAGATTGGCGTGGTGTCGGAAAAGAAATGCATCTAAAAACATTTCTTTTGTATGACACAAAATGCATCTAAAAACATTTCTTTTGTATAACACACATAAAGTAAAAATGAGAAGACACAGGTTGCGCAGAGAAATGTTAAATCAATCTGAATTTGTGGCAAAATCTCTTAGCACAACAAATTGCTTAAACGTGCATCATATACATAACAATCACCATCCAGTCTTAAGATTTGCATGGTAACTAACAATTAGCAAGACATGTTAATGGAAGAATCACCCTAACATATAGCAGGCTATAAATAGTAACAGCTGCTTTCCCAGTTCTAGCTAGTTGAGCTCTCTAAATGGTGATCTATCCTCAAGAACGGACTGAAGTCTCTTTCTTGTAGGTGAAGGACAAACATTGACATTCTCTTTCACAGCCTTGAAAAGCTCACTATCACACTTCAAAATCGGACCGGATCCACTATTGTCAAATGACTGCATCATGCTTTCCAAGGTTCCCATCAATTGCATGTCTTCATCGGAGAACTGGTTAATTCTCTCAGCAAGTACCGTGAGCAAGCCAAACAAATTGTCCCTATCTGATGACAACTTCATGACATTTCCAGCTAAACTTCTGTTCCCATTTTTGAGCTCATCAACTGAGGTTTCTGATGTTCTCAGCTTTGTCTCCATTAGACTCTTCAATTTCTTCATTTCCAACTGTTTTGCTTCTAGTTCAGCTTCAATTTCTAGTGCCGTCTTTTTCGAACCCAAGAGTGATTTTTGCTGTAATTCCAGTTCCTTTCGTGTAGAAAAGATGTCATCCTCCAGCTCTATTATCATCATCTTCTTCTCTTCAATTTCCAGTTGATCCAGAATCTCAGCTGAAGCAATCTTTTCCCAAGCCTCGTGGAGAAAATGAATCTCAGCCTGCTTCTCAGCAAGCTCCAGAGAGAAAGAGGTCAGCGAGCCATTGAATTTTTGTTCCATCGACTTCACAAGCTGCAAGAGGTCATCTATTCTTTGATCTTTCTCCACCACTAGCTGGATAATATGTTCTTTTTCGTGGTCAAATTTTCTTTCTGCCTCTATTTGTGTCAACATTGCACCTTCAAGTTCTCTTCTCAATGATTCTTGCTCCAGCCACCCAACCTCTTTCTGCAGATCATCTAACAATTTATCCTTCTCTTTCATGGTTTGTAGAAAACCTTCTCTCTCTGACTCAAAGGACATTACTGTCTCCATTGCAGAAGTGGCAGCTGACTCTCTTGTTTTAAGTTCTTTCTCAAAGAATTCAATCTGCTGCTGTAGGTTATCTATTTTATCGTCCCTTACTTGTAACATTTGGGCGAGGCCATCTATCTCCTGCTTGATAGTATGCTCAACTTCTGCTTGTGAAAGAAGAGAAGCTTCTATGTCTTTGCGCAACAACTGGCTTTCTTCAAGATCATCTTTTAATCGATGAGCAATCGATTTCCATATCCACAATTCAAATTCCACAGCATGTCCTTCACAAATTTTAGCTGCAAAATCAGATTTCAGTCTGTGCAGCTCATCATTTACTTCTCGAAGTTTCTCTTTCAAGTCGTTTTCCTTCTGGAAAGCTTGCTTTTCCAAGCTATGTTGGCACCTGGATGCCTTCTCAAGCGTTTCCTTGTATTTCTTGAGTTCTTCTTGCATCAGGAGATGCTGCTCTTCAATAAGATCTAGAGACTGAACTCTTCTCGCCAAAGATGCCGCGCTCTTGTTTTCTTTAGCCAATTCAGCCTTTGCAGTGTCCAATTCATCACAAACTTCTCTTAGTTTCTCCTTTAAGTCAGTTTCCACATCCAAAGCTTTCATTTCTATGAGAAGCTGCTTCCTAGATGATTCTTCGACCATTTCCTTATACCTCTCAAGCTCTTTCTGCATCAGGAGTTGTTGCTCTTCAACAAGATCGAAGTGCTCAGCCCTCTTAGATAAACATTCCACCTTCTCTCGATGTTCCACCAATTCTGAACTGGCCATGTCGAATTTATTGCAAACTTCTCTAAATTTCTTTTTCAACTCGTTTTCAATCTGGAAAGCTTGCTCTTCCAGGCAACTTTGACGCCTAGATGACTGCTCAAGCACTTCCTTGCACTTCTCCAACTCTTTCTGCATCAAGAGCCACTTCTCTTCTATAAAATCCAAGGACTTGGCTCTCCTTGACAAAGATACTACCTTCTGATGTTCTTTGGCTAATTCTGAGTTCGCCAAATCCAAGGCATCACAAACTGCCTTAAGTTTATCTTTCAAGTCATTTTCTGTCTGCAAGGCTTGCTTCTTGAAGCAAAGTTGACACCTTGATGATTCCTCAAGCAATTCTTTGTATCTCTCAAGCTCTTTATGCATCAATAATCGCTGCTCTTCAACAAGATCCAGGTACTCAACTCTCTTCAATAAAGATGCAACCTTTTGACGTTCCTCCTCACAATCTGTCATTGCTTTAGCCAGAGCAGTGTTCTTTGTCTCCAGCTGCCTCATCAAGAGAGAGACATCTTCGCCTCTTTCTTTGTCATGAAGCCTCACCTCACTCTCATCATTCCCAATGTTCAGTTGAGCCTCAGTTATTCCTGATTTCAATACCAGTAGCATTGTCGAAGCCTCCTCATTCTGCAACTCCAACTGCATTATCACAGAGTGGCAATTTTTCAATTCCATGTCAAGCTCTTTTACTACTGTTTCTTTGCTCTCTAGTGCAGACCTGTAATTATCCAGCTCTCCAGTCAATTTCTCCAGCTGAGAGCTCCATTCAGCTTCTTTAGCTTTAAGATTTGCAGAGCAATTTCTGTGCATCCGCTCCAAACTCTTGAGCTTGTTTTGCATTTTTGCCAAAGAAGAATTTCCCACTTCCCTAATCCCAGCCTCCTGGAGCTCTTTGAGTGACACCAGCAACTCCTGATTGTCTTGCTCTAGCTTTCCTGCTTTGTACTCAATTTCTTTGTAAAATGTCTCCTTGGTAACCAAAGAATGTCTCAGAGCTGCAATTTCAATGTCCCTTTGAGTGGCCAAGCATTCTAGTTGTGACTTTGCATCCTGACACTCGGTGAAAACATTCTCAAAGCGTGCTTTAAATTCAGAAACCTCAACTTCAAGATACTTTCTCCTGCTTTCTTCATGAGCTAAAGCTTCATTGCACATCCTGAACTGTTTTTCAAGATCTTCTGACATTCTAGTCTGAGAATCTAAGCGTGTCTGTAGTGAGCAAATTTCATCAATCAATGTGGACCTCTCCATCTCCCACTCTTTCTTGCTTTCCCTGAACTGATATCGGAGCTTTTCATGTGCTTCTTCTAGATGGTTGAACTGCTCTTTCTTCCATTTTAGCTGATTTTCAACCTCCCTGCTCTCCTCCTCCAACTTGAGTAGCATAGAATCCCTTTCCCTCATCTCTATGGATGCTTTGGCATTTTTCTCTGCTTCCAAGCATTTCTTCTGTGAAGCAGATAGAAGCCCCTTATAACGTTCAATCTCTGCCATAAACACATGAATCTTTTGCTCTTGATCTGTGCTCTTCTCATTTGACTCATCTAGTGCCAACACTAACCCCCTTTTCTCCTCTTCCCATTTTTTATGCTTCTCACCGCAATCAACTTTAAGCTTATCATTTGCAGTGCTTAAACGTCTGATAATGGATTCTTTTTCTTTCAAACTGCATTGAAAATTTTCACACATTCGCTTCACAGTGGAGATTTCCTCTTCCTTGGCATTTAATTCTTGGGCCTGTCTCTCAACTTTCGAACATGCTTCTTGGGTTCGGATAAGCTGTTCACCATGAGCTTTCTTCAAGTTGTCAGAAAATTCTGCCTTGCATCTCAAATCTGCTTTGAGCTTCTCAATCTCAGCTTTTGCTTCATCTAGCTCTTCACAGATCCTGTCCATTTCTTCGCAAATTTAAAAGAAACAAGACACACCTGTTCACAAGCAAAAACCTTCTTCAGATAACAAATTGAAGTTGATTTAAGCGCAGTTATGCCAGTAGAGAACAGAGTACCACAGATAAATATATAGTGAAGATCACATTGCTGATATATCTAGAGGTTCAAATCCAACAAACAAAATTAAATTAATTAATTTTTGACAGGATAATAACTCCTATGATGCTATTGTTTTTCCAAGAAGGTATTGCATCTCATCTTCCAGGTCTAATTAAGAACATGTGAGCAGTATAAAACACCACTATTAACAAGTTATTAAAACCATAAAGACCACAAACCCTATTTCTCCCCCCTTTTGTATGCAATGACCCAAAATTTGTAATTTCATTGTTTATAAAGAACTTAATTGCCAACGAGCAATGCCAATCTTTTTTTCCTTGATTATAAGAAATCAAACAAAACCCAAAATAATCAAAGATATAGATACCATTTTTCATAAATTTTCCACGGTTGTTTCTCCCAAGATAAAACAAAGACTAAAGATAATTATTTAAATGTAAAAAATCACAGACCCCATTTCTTTTCACTTTGGTATTCAATAATCGACGAAAATTTGCATCTTATTGTCAAAATCATGGAAAACCAGAAAAAAAAACCTTTAGATCGGATTTTCAACGAATTTCTCTCAAGATTACACAATGGCTTTCTTAAATTTCTAGGCTCGCAAGAACCCAGCATAAAAACAATAAAAGTAAAGTCCCTGACAAAATTAAGAGAGACCCAGAAAGAAATAAAAAAAAGGGATAACTTAAAATGCGTTGTAACAACCAAAAAACCATGAAAACATGTGCCAACCAAAGACTTCTCAGATCAAGAAACTTCACTACTTAATGATTCTTTTAACACTGGAAATAGCAAAAATAAGAGAAAGCCAGAAGAGAAAGAAGAGAAACATACCTGGTTGCTATTATTATGGGTTTCTTCCCATAGATTTGTCCATGTAAGAGAGTTTCTTGTGATTTTCTTGGGTTGTGAAGAGAGATATCAGTTAAAATGAAAACAACTAGAGAAAGTGCAAGAAATAGCCGTTGAGAGGGAAGAGGGGGGATTCTGTTTGAAATAGAATAAAACGGCGTCATGGTTTTCTAACGGCGTGTCGAGTTTCTTTGAAAATTGGGCTGAGGTTGGACTGGGCTTTTTATTTGTTTTATGCGTGAGGTTGATAATATGGCAATGCTTATGTAATAATATTTTTAATTAATATTTTTTTATATTAAAATATTAAAATTATAAAAAATACTTTGAGTTTTTTAAAGAAAAATTTACAAAAAATCAAAATGGAAAGGGGGAAAAAAAACTGTACACAGAACAGTTCACGGTAATAATAAATTGGCACTTTAGCCACTATAAAGTGAATTTAATTGAATTTGAAATGATCACCAAATTATGCAACTCTCTTCTCCTCCTCCCTTGAATCAAATCCAAAGATCCTGATTTTTTTTTTTTAATTATAAAAAATGCTCGAATTGCTCAACATGAAAAAATAACATAGTTTTCTTGAATTGCAAATACAAAAGAATATAATTAAAACGGATTCAATTGATTTGCAGCTAGTCGAAGTTGATTTGCAGCTACAAAAGCTTCTAGATTTACTTGAAAAACATAAAATTTGAAGAATTGCACTATAACTTGAAGCTATCTCCACTAAAACGATCCACTGCCAAACCAATAAAAAGCATTATATGAATAACAGAACCTTGTCACGGCATTTTTAAATCCAGCCAGAAGTTCTGAAAATTAGCACAAGTGGTGTCATCAGCTGCTGGCAGGACGCTCGTCTTGTCCTGACTTTTAGCTTCGAGGATTGGCTGTCAAATCTGATGGACTATCCAAATGCTTGTTTCTACGGAGCGGTCTTTGCGAACATGCAGAGCTCCCAGCTATAGAATATGGAAGATCTAAAGAGTGAGGCCAACAAAAAGCAGTTTGCCAGAAAATTATTCAGAGTTGTTTCGTCCAGTCAAATGGTTCCCAATCTTGAGCAAATTTTGCAACGGCCAGTTTTTGCACCTCCACTGATTCATGCCTCCGGTGCCGGTACATGTCCTCCTCAGGTAAACGCAACATTCCCCTTAAAACATTCAAGCCAAGGCTGCTTTTAAAGTTTTTCTCGTCATCAATAACATGGACGAACCCCTTATTTAGACCAAACTCAACATGGAAATAAGGAAAGTCCTTGGGGATTGAACCACGAAGTCCTTTCTCACTTGTATCAATGAGCTTCTTTGCATTGTGTTGACTCCACTCATCTTCAGCTTCATCGATTGCCTGGAAAGGAAGTATTTATTATGAAAGGATGGATGAACATGTAAATGTGTGTGCAAGTCATAAATTTGTCCATATATATAAGCAAAACTGTGAATGGCCGGTGTTGACATTGTACCCAAAAAGAACGCTACTAGTTTGATTATTAGAAGCATACACAAAATCTTTCATGGATATAAAATGATCTTCACTATGGTTTCTCTTTGCTGTTCCAAAGTCAACATTTTGACTCAATTTACATTAAACAATTGGATAAATATTAAAGAACAGAATTGTTGCGGTACACTGGCAACCCTTTCATGTTAACTTTATGTTCCGTTCCTATCTGTGCGTGATGACAGCTCGTAGTTTAAACAAAGGACAGAGACAAAATAAAGATATTTTTCGAAGTGCACGAAATCAACAGTTACAAACAGACCAGCTCTTCTCCCCAAAAAGATAGTCTAGCAAAATCTAGAAGACTAAGTGAACACTAAAAAAGGAAGCAACAATTATCTCACCAAAACAGAAAATTAATAAAAGAAAGCTAACCTTCTTAAAATATAGAGGGGCTTGTTTAGCAATTTGTCGAGGCAAAGGAATGCACTCGATCAAACAATGGCGCCGTTGTTGTGACAAGTTGATCACTGTTTCAAGAAACACTAAATCCTTCTCTTGCTTGGAGAACATCATTATAAGGCATTTCTTGAAATTGCGAATTTCTTCCCACACATTATTGTCAACATTTCTTGTGGCTGAGTCATGCTACAAAGAAAAAATCCAGCCTCCATAAGAAAAAATCTTGAAGTGAAGAATAAAAATAACAGAAAGTTAACCTATGTCTGTTCCTAAATAAAATCCTGTATCATCTATATTATGTTGTGAATGACTTTATTTTGCTCCCTAAATCATTAAAACAACTCTTATTTCCTGTTCTGGTATAATCTTTCAGAATGTGATGATTCAAACACTGACATATTTTCAAATTGCTTACTATAATTATGAGACAGATCAATTCTCCCAAATGCAGTCTTTTAGAACAAATCCAAGACAAATGACAACTTGCTATTCAACTGTAAGAAGTACAAATCATATAACTGGCAACCAAGCCTAATCTACTCTAAGTAACTAGACTAAGCTTACCTGCATTGGCAGGATGCAGCAGTGGCCAGGCACAATGGGCTGCCACTGTGGCAACATCAAATATGTGAAGTTTGCTATCGACACAACAAGATGTTTTGGCCGGTTTGGATTCTCAAAGCAAAAATGGCAGCGTTCTTGCTGAGTCAAGATACGCTTTGCAAGATCATTCTTGTTAGCAACCTTGTGATCAGTGTCTCTGCCCTTCCTACCAGACTTCCTCCTTGGGCCGTCATCAAAATCATATTCATCGTCAGCCCGGCCAGATAAACTGTACTGTTTATTCTGCATTATTGTTTGGGCAAGATGCCTATCAGCATCTTCATCTTCCTTTCTCCTGGCAGAAACACCTTGAATAGCAGATCTAAAACGAACAAAAAAGGAAATATTATTATAAAAGCGATGAACATAAATTGCAAAGTTTCAAGAATGAGAAAACAAAGTAATGGCATATGGAGTAACTGAATCAGGTTGAGCAAACATAGCTTTTTTGGAAACTGCAGGAGATCAAGGAGTTCAAATATGTTCCCCAAAGAAAAGAAAAGTAGGAATCACCATACCTTTGATACTCTAATATCATGTTTAGAACACTACCCTATCCAAAACTATATGCATACTGTATATGAAAAGAAACTCAAAAAAAAAAATGTGCATGTATTTAAAAGAAAAAATCACAACATGCAAAATTACCTGTTTGTGCTACTGACTATCAGAGGTCTCTTTGAATTCTCTCCAACACCCTGCTTTGCTTTGATGCTCTCAGCTTCTTGCTGATAAAACAAAGGAAAAGAAAACAGTTAATCACCAATAAAAAAGGCCGTGCACTTACAATTTGACTTAGCAAATACAAAGAATCATAAAAATATGATTGCTTTTTCATTCAAGACCCAGAAAGTCATTCATAGAAAACTTCTAAGAACATATCTGGAAAGTCACGATGAACTTTAGAGACTGTTGTCACCAATACTGCTTTCATATTATGCTAAGCTTACAAAAGTGCAGGTTTTTATAAAAAATATCTTCACACTCTTAAAAGCTTTTGAATGACTCAAGTCCTGTTGATGGTAAAGTGATGCTTTCACTCCTGCACTGATCTTGATCTTACCCTGAATTCTTATCCCATTTCTAAGAAAATGACTAAAAGTTAGGACTCAGCTTAGGACTAAGAAAAAACATCATTGCAATGCTCTTAATTTCCATCCTAAAACATCGTATAATAATCCATTCATCCATCCATGTATTCCAATGTTTTTAAGGCAACTTGCTGAAAGCTTTTGCCTTGCTTTGTTTTTCATACTACGAGGAAATAGATAAAATTAACTAAAATTTCTACCAGGAAGGACTAGAGCAATCTCATTCCTTTGGGAAGCTCTAGTCTTTATTAGAACCAAGGGTAAAACAGAAGTATGTAAAAGTGGAAACATTGTCTCACCATGAGTTTCTCCGCTTCTTCATGCTTTCCTTTCATGCGAAGCTGCAAAGCCTTGGCTGCCAATTGGTTTGCACTTAGTGCTTCCTTAACCAACAGACTGCCTTCACCGGGTTTGTTCATTTCAGGTGAAGTCACTTTTGACTCCAAATTCTCCTCTTGGTTTGAATAGGAACCAACAGAACTTCGAGCATCCTTATTCTGCTTACCAAGAATTTTGCTCATAAAACTTCCATCATCAGAAAACTTATTCAAGCTAGATGCTGCAGCGGAAACAAGGGCTGCATCCTTTGTAGACATATTTTCACCTTTTCGTTTTCCCCATGACAAAGTGTTATGGACTTTTGGAGCTCGCATTTCAGGATGGCGGAGAGATACATCCTTCAAGTAGCCTCGATCAGCACTCTGATAATAACAATCATATTAATTAAATGCAAATGAAAAGTACTTTTTATTCAAGTAACATTAAAGCAATTTTTGACTCACACCCTACAACTGCTTCATAAAAAAAATTAACAGTGGTTTCAGTGAGATGCCGAGTACCTTTCCAATATCTCTCCCACTTTGACCATCTGTCATGGCATCTTGTTCCTCGGTTAATCCTTTCTTTCTATTTTTTATTGCATGCAGATGAGCACGAGATGGGGCAGCCATTCGAGATGCTGCAGAGACAGCCAATTGACCAAGGGAATCCCATCTTTCTTCCACAATCTGTGAAATAAAATTGTATCAACTATCAAATGCAAATAATGGAGGCTTCAGTCATGATAGATGCATTATGAAAGTTAAGGAAACAAACCTCTTCAAGCTTTCTTCCTTCCCGAGCTGCTTGCTCTTGTGCACGCTTTAAGGCTTTTAACCTCCAGCTTGCACCTCCATCCCCGATAAGTGAAGATGAAGGAAGTTGATCTCCACCAACTTTTCTCTCAACTCCATCATCTGGATAACCACTTCCATTATCCTTGAAATATGGATTCAACTCCCGAGGGTTCACTCTCATTATCTAATGAACAAAATAAAAAATGAGTACTTCATCAACAGAGAAAAAGCATAGCACAACTGCTTCACAGAAAAAGACATCTATTTACCCAGAAACTTAGAACATGAACAGATAAATGTGACATGTGGTACCCTGAATATTCAAAGCTCAACAGGACATACATGCGCTCAACAACATTTAGAAAGAATAGATGTGACAAATATCACACTGAATATGCAAAGATCATGTAAGCATAACAATTTTGTGCAGTGAAAAGATTCAAATGATACAAGAACTGATCAGTGAAAGCAGATAGAGGAAAACTAGTTTTAATTCATAAAAGTAAAACAAGGTTGACAAACAAATGCCCAGAGTGTACATGTTAGCAATATATCTTAATACACCAACTAGTTGTGCTAGCTGAATTATACTCATATAACAAGTATCATCCTAACAATTCCGTATAATCAAAGAAATAGACCAAGATTCAAGGTGAAAATGGCAATTAATTACTATATTTTCTCCAATACAAGCAAGATACTTAGTTAAGGATGTTAGAATTTTGCAATACAAACTCCCATCATTGCACAGAATTTGCACCCCTACAACTCCAGAAAAAAGTGCCAAAAGAAAGACAGCTAGGACCACCAACCAAAAGAAAGCTAGGCAACTGATAAGTTGATCATAGAGTGGCAGAAAAGAAAAAAGAAACAGCATTACCTCTTCAGCAGGGGGTTCCTCTAGGTCATGATCAACGCTAACTGTTGGCCTTCTCTCAACATCTTTTGCAGGCCTAAGCATCCAATCCAAGCCCATTTCTTTCCTGGCAATGTCTATTTTATTTATAGAATGGGATTCTCTGCCACCATCTACAAACAAATATTCAATAAATTATCGAATCTTAACATCATCAAATTATCAAACATTCTAACATGAAATTACTTAGAGAACATACCACTGAAGTCATCACCAATTTTACCCTGTTTTTCCTTGCTCTTCTTCCTACCGCCTTTCGCACTTCCTCTTTGAGCCTCACCTTCTGAAGAAAATGATGAATATTCATCAGATGAAAAACGTTTCCTACTCTTTCTCTTTTTCTTTCTTCTCTTACTATTACTCTTTCCATCTGAACCACTCTCACTATCACTTGATTCTTCTGACGAATGCTCATCCGAGGAGTACCACTTCTTACTCTTCTTAGACCGTTTCTTAATTTTCTCAAGATCATCATCAGAATTGCTATCATGACGCGAAATCTTCTTCTTCTTCCTCCTATTCTTTTCCCTTCTACTACCAGATTCCTTCCTCTTCTCTACAAAATCATTCCTATTTTCACCTTTCCCCTAAAACCCATTATTCAAATAGTTAGAAAAATGAAAGGTAATTAAAAAAAAACTACTTGAAACACGAAAATTAAACCATGTTACAGGTGGGAAAAAAACCTTACCTTATCAACTTCATCTCGGGGAATAAACTTCACCCCAGAAAGCATTATCGATTAAAATTTACTTAATTGAATACAATAAAAATCCCTGCAGAGACAACAATAAAAAAATACAGAAATATGTAAGGAACAAAACCAAACCCACTACCAAAGTTAAACAAACACAGCCCACACATCATAAAATTGAGCTTAACATATGATTAGAACTTAATTCAGTACTTCACACAATTTTTTTTTCTCTATGTCACCAATTTTATGATTAAAACTAACAAATCGAAACCACTCAAAGAAAGAAGCAAAAAAAAATAATATTGGAATACGTACCAGTAGATTGAGTATAAAGGCTGCTTTAACAATTTCTTTATCTTTTAAGAATTCTCGTCTAGGACGAAGTTTGGAGACGGTAACGGGACGGGGAAAGTATAGAAAGAGGTGAGTGTTTAGCCCTCTCTGTTGAATGTCGAAATCGGACGGATTTTTATTTTTATTTTTTTGGAATTTTAAGTTTGAAAAACTTTAGAAATGAGTAGCTTATGTTACGGTCCGAATGTCGATTGTGATTTATATAGAGTTATAAATTAGTCCCTCTAGTCTTGAGGAATCTTAAGTCCGTCCTTTGACCACAATTGACTGTTATTTTTATTTGTTTTTTCAAATTCCAGATCTTTTATAAATTTAATGCACCTTTTGTCTTATTTGTGTTTTGACTTAGAAATGAAGGATTATTTTAGAAGAGAAACAATAGATTCACATAAAATAAAAGAATTAATGAAAGGACCTGATTGTAAACAGGTGAGAAAATAGAAGGACTCATTATTGTCTTAAAGATTTAAAATTGTGAAGGATGTAATTATTTCCTGAAAAAGATAGGAAGTGAGTAACACCATGGTTGATTGGTAGGGTTCTATGGTTATTCAAGGTAATATAAAAAGATACTATGGTAAATAAATCTTGGGATTTTAGAAAATTACAAGAAAATCAACTAAAACACCAAGGTTTTGTTTTTCTTGAATTGAGATTTAATATAAATTATGTTATGTTATGTTATGTTACAGGCACAGAAATCTTCCACGTATCGGACTAGTCGGCTACTGTCGAGAGAGACGAGAGGAGCCTTCCTTAGCTAGCCATTCGGGAGTGATTGCCCTCGCAACTGTATTGTATTTCGAAACTATTGCTCCACTATTGAATTCGATCCCAAGTTAATACATGATGGGATGAATCCACCCATTGAGCTCCTACCTGAAATTTAATTTACTATCTGTTTTCAGCTCCATTAATCCATCCGCTTCAGTGCAATTTGGCCTCGAAGAGAAGTGGAAGCGGGAATGTTATTTGGTTTTGATGCACTTTCCCACCATTCCCTCGAAATATATGGATAACACCAGTGAGAGACTCTATGGGAAATGATAGCCACCAGCGAAGATCCGAAATCATCCATGATAGCAGCAGCCTGGGTAACACAAGTGAAGGACTTTCTTGATTTCAACATCAATCCCAAGTTCACAGAATTACATTATCTTCGACCATATATATATATATATATAATGTATATAATGTTCGATTGTATGAATTCTAAATGGAAAGAAACCATAAATTAATGTTGATAGGGTCTTAGCTTACCTCTTTCAGATTAACCCTCGTCATCCGAGCTGGAACTGGAATCTTCTGTACGTCGCTCTGCAATTGCTGGAAATAGCCGCCGTCGAAGATCAGCCAACGGTTGTTGGCGCTGATTAGAGGGAGATGATACAGTAGATGCCTCTTTTTTCTGTGTTTTTGCTAACCTCTTTTGTGCCTCTCTCACCTCTTTGCATACCTTATCTAATATTATTAAAAAGTCTCGCACAATGACAAATAATCTTAAGCCCTCATCCTTCCCTGCATTCCCATGGAAATAATCACCAGTGCCCTTCACCAGAGCCATAATTCTCTTTTCTTCTTCCAGAAGTGACATGACATCAACCTCAGCATTCTGCACAAAACCTTTCAATGTTTGATGGAATCCACTATCTTCCTCTAAATTCTTCATGTCTTTATTCAGGAAATTTTGGGTTACTAACAATGACTGCCCAAGTTTAGCAGCAGATCTTGTTAAGTTGTCAGTATCCACAACCGCTGCTCTTTTGACATTTTCTAGTTCACTGCTCAAATGAGAAACAACCTGAAGACCAAGGCTGCGATAGTGCTCTTCTGTATCGGTGGAAATTTCCTCAAGGAGATCATCTGTTTTTATACTGACACTGGAAAGGCGCCGGGTCCCTTGTCCAGCACAAGCAGCTCTCACACCTTCAGAGCGAATTATCTCCTGAACAACAAAGTGCAAGAGAGTAGTCTTCCCATCTGCTCCTTTTACATCAGATAATTTCAAAAGCGTGTCAAGCTTGAATGCTTGTGCACCACCACGGAATGTTCCATCATTCATTCGGTTGCCTGTTTTGAGAACAGCTTCTAGAAGCTTGAGGAACAATCGACTGTTTCTGAGCTCCTTGCAAGCAACCTGCCATGTTAGATGGAGATAGCATTTGCATTAGATGTTAGCAAGTGCAGAAATTCAAGAAATTGCCAGAAATCAGAGACGTATCAGTGAGAAACTGACCACTTTGCACAGTGATATATTCAAATTTTATAAAAGTGAGAATATTCATATGCAAACATGTGTCTTATATGCAAAAACATTCATGCATTCTAAATGTGAAATTCATCAAGTCACAGGATTCTGCCAGTTCTACCTGTTCTACCATATCCTACCCATCCTCTTTTGTATGATAGGTGGCTAGTCTCTTTCATTCTATAAACTAGATGGGATGCATGCACTTTCCAAGACACATAGGAAGGAGAATGATAGGAGGCACTGAACTGAAATCAGTATGTAATTTTTTTGCAAATAATGTTGTGTTGTGGTTCTTCACAAAAATTTATTTTTCTTTCAATAATATTTTTAATGATTTTTTAAAATATGCCTCCATGATTTGGTATGCCTTCCCAAAATCAAGAAGCATCGCAAAGGTCGTCCTCCCCATATGTTGAAAAAATGCAACTACCATGTTTATAATTAGACTATGAGCATGGATACTTCCAACATATTGTTCAAGACAACCAGCTCCAAAAAGCAAGAATTAAACCAAGTGCTGAAGAAATACAATATCCAGTTGCCTACCTCTAAGGTTTCAAAAGACTCTTTACTGGAGGTGATCTCTTCCTGTAGAGTGCACATGAAAAGCAGTGCTTCCAATCGTTTAAAAGCAAATGGGATGTCAACCAAAGCTTTTAGGAACCTCTCAGCAGGCCCAAGTTGAGAAAGTTCACCACTGTAGAGCCTAAGCTTCAGTTCTTCATCTGCTGTGGGTGCCATCCTCAACAAATTTTGAACGAGCTCTACAGGAAGCTCATTTCCTGATTTAATTAACAGAGGTTAGAATATGCTGATGCATTAAAACTGAAAGACACTACCGCTACTCAAATCCCACAACCAACGAGATGAGGTAATTGCAACCATGTACACAGCCACACCATCATGAAAATCAGCCATACTAGACAAACAAGGTGTGTGAAAGGATTTTCCCAGACTAGGAACGGGATAAACAAAATACAATGAAACATCCATCCCCACCCCCCTCAACCAAAAAAATTGAATTTCTTGGAATTGGTGCAGTTTAACCTATCCATGCATGTATCTCTACTGAAAGAAATTAAGAGAGTTGATCACCTTCACGAAGTGCATCACAGACTTCTTCTATCATCACATTCAGTGCCCGCAAAAGAATTGATAAATTTTGTGCCTTTTTGGGATCAAGTATTTGAATAAAATGGGATGTTGGATCTTGGGAGGAAGACTCTTTCTTGCGTTCATTTTTGTCTTTATCAGGTGCATATCCAAACAGGGTTTCTATCATCTCCTCATTGAACCTGTAAAATAGCATATTCAGCAGCAAAGGTTATTAGGGATTCATGAATGAAAAGATAGAAAAATAACAATAAAATTCAAAAGTGTAACTTACTGGAATGATCCCGATTTAATCTGATGCCAAACCATGGAATGATCAGGGTTGGCTAGAACTTTGTCCCAGAAAAATGGCTTTAGCTTGGCTTTAGGAGCATCAGCATCATCCTCCATACCAGCTCCTTCACTGGATGCAGTATTGGAAGGATGCTTTGATCCAAGAGGTGGTCGAGGAACTTTTAGACCTGAGGGCATTGGTGGTGGTGGTTGAGGAGCAGAAACTCCAATTGGAGGTGGTAGAGCGCGCGGACCTGGTTTCACTCCAGGAGCAATAGGTGGTGGTGGAGGTGGACCAGGGGGACGGGGGCCCGCACTATTGGTTGATTTTGCAGGCGCAGTTGGTGCAGGAGGGGGAGGTGGAGGTGGAGGAGTAGGACCAGCCTTACTGGGAGGAAGCCTGATACTAGCAGGTGGTTCAGGAGGATGTGGTTCTGCCCTTCCAGGAGGAGGCTTCAAAAAAGGGTTGCTGCCTGTCCTTCCTGGAGGATGTGGTACAGGTGTGTTCATCTTGCTGTCACCAGAGGATTTGGCAGCAGCACTAAAAGCTCCTAATGACATACTTTCATCTAGCGATACATTAAGAGCATCAGACTTGTTAAAAAGGCTCTCCATAGATGATCCCATTTTCTCATGGCTTGATATATTATCAACAGAATGATGACCAAGCTTATCTTGTTCGATAGAATTTCCTAAGCCAAAAGTTTTATGTGTAGAACCTGGAAGATCAGATTTTGAAGAAATATCAGAACTGTATAAAAGAATTGTTCGTTAAAAGAAAACATCTGACAGACTATTTACTGACCAACAGAATAGTCACTTAAGCTTAGGCTAAGAAGGGGCCTTTCATCATTTCGTCTAGCTCCAGATCCTCTCCAACAAACCTTAGTACAGAGCAAGAAGAACAATGCCGCAACAACAAATGTCACTCCAGCAGTCACAACTACTGCAATAACTACTGTTTTATGGTTATTTCCATTATCTGGCTCAATAGGACCAGAGGTTTGACTAGAAGAGCTTTCACTGGGACTGGGAGGAGGTGGTGTTAGGTGAGGAAAAAATGGTTCTTGTGGTGAAGGGACAGAGATTGGAGTAGAAGCTGGAGAAGGTGCCAGATCTGGGGCTGGTGAGGGACTAGGAAATGGCGATCCAACAGCTGGCACTGGGGCTGGGGGCTCTGAGATGATCTGAAGCAAATTCCTTCTTGCAATAGCACACTTTGTGTGGTAATTATCTGCACCACCTTCATCTCCAGAAACATGGAACAGATGATTGTCCTTTCTTATACAATCTAAAAGAGTTTCCTTTAACTGGGGATGCTGGACTTTAATCAATTTCTGAATGTTTTCTTTTGACACTGACCAACCCTTGGACCTTAGTTCAATGGCCCCATTAAATGTTTCCTCAGGGAAACAGAAGTTAAGATTTTCATCAGCTTCCTTCAGTTGAATAAAATCTACCTTGCAAATGATGCAAAGTAGCTCTGTCTGCAATCCAAAACAATTTCAGTAAATTTTTGTCCAGCTGGGAATAAGCAGACATCTATAAATATGAACTAAGAACAAGCAGTAGACACATACACACACATGAAGAACAAGGAAGTTTAAGCAGGCAAAAAAAGCACAAACACATCAAGGCTATGCCACATTTGCAGGGGGGACAAGAGAGAAGATAAAATAATCAGTATAACGGACGAGCTTGGAAGCGAATATCCCCACTTAAACATACACATAAGCATATGCAAAACGGATATGATCACGGATGCAATAGTGATCAAAACACTTCAGGTCAGAGGCTATTGTGGTATTATAATCCTCATCGATGATCATTGCTCATCTTCAGCAATGACTAGCTTTCGAATAAAAAAGAAATTATGATAAAAGAGTTCCATAATTCCAACTCTTCCACTCTGAATCTGCCCCCCAGCAACCAAAAAAAAAAAGGAAAGAAAAATCCAAGACCCTAAACAGAGAAGAGAAGAAGAAATTATGATAAATGTGTGTCATCTCAAGTGTTAGGGAACACAAAATTGTCATACACGTGTGGTAAGTACTATCAGATCCCTAATTTTATTAATTTAAGTTTAGACCTATAAAATAAGAAGTTAATATCATGAAAGATATAGCTATAATTTTCGTTTTTGGATTTAAGGCCAAGGATATTCTTGAGTAAGTTTTCACACTTGGAGACTAAGTCATCTCTTTAATCTCATTAAGAGCAGATTATTTATAACAAAACTATGAAATTTATGAGAATTTTACTTCTCGCATCCTGATATAAATTTTTTGACTAATTACAGTGTACACTCTCTTAACCATCAAATCAACTCTCTCAAGAAAAGTGTAGTGTTGATACTTCTTAGAAATATCCTCCTAAAATTTAATCTAGGTAGTGATGCGTGTCACATTTTAGCAGACCTAGGAATGTATATTATAAAAATTATCAAGTTCTATTGTGGTATTCTGATCCTTATCAATGATCAAGAACTGAGAGAGCAAATAATATTGTTGTCATGACTCGTGGGGGTTAGACAGTAGAATTAATCCAGAACTGAGAGTAAATAGTATTGCAGTAGTGATTCCTGGTGGCGCGACAAGGTTAAATCATAAATTACCAAGCATAAATCAGAGCCAAATAATTTTATCAGCCAGCAGTCAATATTATTCAAACAATTTAGCACCAATTTGCATACGTTTTGATGAATCTGGACCCATACAAACCATATCTCTCATTTCGAAAAGTTAAGAAACATAAACAGCAGGTTAATATCCGTTTCCCAACTCACAATCTATCATCATGAAAAAGGGCATTTCAAGCACTGGGAATCAAATAACTTCAATTGTGATCACAAATTTATTAAACTGCAAGCAATGGAATTGTAGAAGAGTGTGGTACAAAGTCCTACCGCGTCCTTATCAACATACCCAGTTGCTAGGTCAACTAATTGCCTCAGAACCACTTCCTCTGTCCTTCCCCTGTATTCCAAGCTCACCACCACAGATGCACATACCAGAATCACCAAAAAACTGGAGCAGCTTGACTTCATATGAACCATTGGTTGATGATTCATCCTTATAAGCACAAACTATCCTTCTCATTTCATCAATAGCTAAACCCTTATAGTACCCTCATAGTACAAAACCAACCCAAAAAGCATCCATCTTTTACCATTGGAGTCATTCCCAATTCAAATTTTATGCCTCTATAACAACCCGATCACCAAAATCTAGATGCAAATTCTCAAAATCCCAGATAGAATTTTTGCCTGAAAATTCAAACTTGGAATCAAAACTCAATTCACCAAACAAAACCCAGAATTTATCTTCGTTAAACAGCCCAAAATATAGAATCAAATAACATAACTATCAAAAGTTTTGCACAAATGAGGCTTATTTAGGACCAGTAATAGACCTAGAAAATCCAAAATGTGAACAGGAAATTCTGTGTGAAAAGCAAAAGGGTGTTAAATTAATGACATGATCCAATCAAAAGAAGCTCAAAAAGGACGTTTGCTGTGACAATGCTGGTGGCCTGGAAAACGGTGGATTTTTCTTTTTAATTTCTTCAACAAGGTTTCATTGAAAAGTTAGAGCAGACAAAGAATTTGATAAAAATAGGAACTTTTCAAGGGTTTTTTAATTATTACCAATAAAAACCTTATTTATAAAAAAAACTTATTAATATTGATATTATATATTTTTATATTTTAAAAGTGTTTTAAAAATTTTAATTTTTTTTATTTTTTATTTTAATTTTTTTTTGTGTTTATAAGTCATTTTAATATGTTAATATTAAAACTAATTCTTTAAAAAATAAAAATATATTATTTTAATATATTTTTAAATAAAAATATTTTAAAAAACAACTATAATCATATTTCTAAATAAATTATTGAAATTTTTGAGATAGAAAAAAAAATCACAAACCAAATGCTATTATTTTTTTTTAGAAAAAGAAATTGTGAATTTTTTTATAGACCTATTAAATATTGACAAGTAATGATTTATTAATTCACAACAAACAGTCTTAATTAATTTAGTTGTAAAATATATATATTTATGTATTAAATACAACTTTTGGTTTTAAGTGAAGATAGATACAAGTGAGCTTTTACCAATTTAGGATGGTCACACTTTCTCCCGAGTTAGGATTTAGGTGAAGGTTTAGTCTTAAAAATTATTTATATTCAAGATAAGACCTAGAAAATGACTAAAAAAATCTAGTTTGTAAATTATTAATTAATAAATTTTGTTAAAATAATATTATTCTATTTAGTATTACAATTCAACTATGTTTTTTTTAATTAGAAATAAATATTCTTTTAATATATTTTTAAATTAAAAGTAATTTTCATTGTATTTTCAAATATATCCATAATTAACCATAGTTTGAAGGAAAAAATAAAGTTTAAAATTAGGTTTACATGCCTATACATTTTCAAAAGTGATTACATTCATAAATCACAATTTAAGAGCAAATCTTACGTGATATTGATGCATGGTGAAGCTGATTTGTTTTCTTTATTGTTCATGAAAAGGTTTTAAGATTT